CTATGTTTTTTAATTGTCTTGACCTCAAGCAACCCAGTGGCTGCTAAAGTTGTGGTGTATATGATGTTGTTATCTTCTGTGATATTTTCCGGTGGTGTACTTCCAGAATAGCGTTGTATATTTGCACAATGTGCTTATTGGGCTTCGTCATAGGAATTTTGGGGATCTGGCATGTGTCTGACAATTGTGTGAGGTTTACTCTGCTGAGTCCTTGAATGGCGTGATGTTTCGCTTCGATAATATCAGTTTTGTGGTTTTCAATTTCTTAGTGTAGTTGGACTCATCTTCTGTGGCATCGTTTGGATAACAGCAAACTATGTCACAGGTAGATTCTTCGAATTTATTTCCTGGGAGGTTATTTCGTATTTCATTTGGTTTTGTTTTTTTACCTCATCCTCTGTCATATTACTTATTTTTACTTTCATCTCTTTACAGTTTAAATGACGGGTTATATTATTCTGTCTTATATCTAACTAGCAGCATGGCCCGGCGTTCCCCGTGCTTGATTCAAAAATCGTACGACTCATACAGCAATCGCTATCACTTGACTTAAAATATTTGTGCCCGTCCTTGCCTTTAAAGGAGTGCCCTTTGCCGTGCTGATGTTGCTACATGCCTTACTTCTTGCCTTCTGGAAAAACCGAGTGAAAAAAGAATGTTAACAACAAATACTTTTTCACACCCAACCCAATTCTGTGGAATCAGAATCAATGTTGAGTTTAAGCAAGCGAATGAGCCAATTGGAGTAAAGTGCCATGGAGATTTAATTTTTTACTACTTGTGACAAATGCAGCTATCGATTTTTTTGCATGCTAGCATGCTAGTTAACATTCGTGTCAGTCAGCTGTTGGCTCTTACGCTGGCCTATAGAATCTTCCTGCCTATTCGTGGCAGTCAGCTAATGGCTCTCACCCTGGCCAGTACAAAATGGCAGCAAACTACATGAAAACTGCCGTAGAAGCATGAAAAAATCGATTATTTTCACTATCGATGGGAGTTGGGAAATGCAATGTTGGTTTTGGCCTTTCCGCTAACTTGTAGCATGTGCATGTAAATTTTGGTGCTAATCCGTCTAAAATTGCGGCCGTGCATTCGTTACACACACACACAGACACACACACACACATACAAAAACATCCTGCCTTTTATAGATAGAGATTTTATCGTATCTATTTCTGCATTTGAGAGTGTTTTCTTTCGCACAATGTCCCTGCGGACATTGGCAAGCATGTTTTATTTGATGTTAGATCATATATCACTTCCTACCATTGTTCTCCATATTTGGTATGTTTGATTCGTAGTATTCTTTGCTGGGTTTTCAACTGCAGTGACGAATGATGTCATGACTTGTTGATACTCTTTGCGAGACCATTTCGTTCGTTTTCTTTCTATTAGTCGATTTGCTATTGAGTCACTTGGTCCAAGGTTGGGAATAGCCCGAATTTGGTGACTTACTGTCTCTTCGTTTTTGGAAGAGTTTGTTCCAGTGACAGATTTTTCTGCCCCAGTCTGCAACCTCTCTGAGGTACGCGGACCTTGTTAACCCGAGTGACGACCGATCCGGTAGGAAATTTTATTCGTATTCATTGAGATTCACAGAATTGTGCGTTTTAACCTTGGCAACCAACGCGTACTTCTGTTCCTGTTACCAGCTTACGACGACACTCAAAGAAGACCTGAGAGCACGTCAAAACAATAAGATTGGTACGGATGAGGAATAAATTCACATATCCACAGTTAAAGAGTCCATGTCTGAGCATTGCATTCAGGGGGATAGCATATGCGTATAGACATAGCGCTGACAATATTAAGTTTTAAAAATCGGAGTTACCACTACCAGGTGGAATATCAGAGTTTATTAATGAGAGTTATTCCATTAAAAAAAATGTGGGCAATCAATATGACCCCTACCATGCGAATACACACACATGTACATTGCATATACATATATATCTACATACATATACACATACATACACATGCATATAAACACGCACTTACAGGCATACATTATGCTGAGGAGAAAGAAACGTAGACGGAAGGTTCAACTTGAGGTGTGGGATAGAAAAGTGAAATTAATTTAAAGTTAATGAAAAAAAGGAACAATGACACAATTAGTGAGAAAAAAAATGAAATAATTAAAACTTAAATAAAGTCAAAAAGACTTAGAATGAATTCAAACAAAAAGAAAAAAAATTAATCAGTAAATGTTATAAAATTTACGATTCCTTACATTGTGAGAGAATCGCACAAGTATCTTTCCAATGTTCAACCTACCGACGCCGATGAGTGATATTTATTAAGTTTTATAGGGTATACCATCAACTCTACTACATGTTGGTGGAGAAGTTATCAAAGAGTTCATTAGACAAAGGTTTAGAGAAAAAGGAAAGAAAAATTAAAGTTAAAAATAAAAATAAAAATGAATACATTTCGGGTCATTTCTCAACCTGCCAGCCACTAAAAGATAAATTGCAATTCTTCACCCAAAAAGAAGTCAGCCAGAAGCAGAACATTGTTACGTTGGTACACCTTTAGCGATATGAAAAAATCTGGGCAGTCAAGTCAATATGATCCCTACCCATGCGAATACATACACATTTACATTGTATATACATATATATCTACATACATTGGGTAACTCGACGTGGTGTAATGGTTAGAAGGCTTGTCTTGCTAGATCAATTACGCCTTGTGCCACATCTAAACCGGGCTTCGAAAATCACTATATATCTACATATACATACACACACATGCATATAAACACGCACTTAGAGGCATACATTATACCGAGGAGGAAGAAACGTGGACGGAAGGTTCCACTGGAGGTGTGGGATAGAAAAGAGAAGTTATTATTATTATGTAATATCATTTAAAGATATAAGCGATCAGTGAAGTCCATATCTTCTATAGATCTATACTATATTTGTTCTTTTACCTTGTCCCTGAACGGCAACCTGTTTACAGAAAATCATTAAGCAGGCCATGCATTGTTTGCCATTGCACGTTTTGTGTGTGGAAAATTCCCCAGACTTCTTTCCTCATTAAATCTCCCGGGAATTGCAAAGTTTTGGTTTTAATTTTGTGTTCTTCCCATTTTATTTAAAATTCCCCCGTTACTGACATGTCCGGATCATTGTACCTTGAGCATCTTACTAAAAAATATTTCTGCCTCAATGCATTTGCTTAGAAACTTGTTCTTTCTGAACTTCGTATGTCATATAAAGTCGGTGTCTTCCGTTTGCTATTCCCCTTAAATTTTCTTCCATGAATTAGTTTCGTTTATCGCTTGCAAATCGTTTTATATCCTGATATCAATGTGTTTATTCTACTGCGTACTACCTGACATAGACATATTTATGGATGTTTTATTCTAAGTTAATATTGTCTTTAGATTTTCTCGACATCATTAGAACAATTGGGTTTTCCCGTGAGTGTTTACCTCCAAGTTACAGATCCTTAAGGTCAAATATTTCAAGAAATAATATAGGAAAAATCTTTTATGTATAGAGAAAAGACCCAATAAATTTATCGATTGTATAAGACAGCTACCCTTTTTTGACTTCACGAATTACAGGTACACTGCTCTTAATCAATTTTTTTTTCATATTATGAAGTATACATTAGATATTTACGAATAAAGATGTTGTTTCTATTTCCATCATCACTGGGTATCATAAAGACATAAATATATTCCAACTTCAACTTGATTTATCATATTTCCTCCTTCCAAATTTGATGAAATGTTTTATTTATACAGTGCAACCCGGATATAAGAGACCCTGATATAAGAGAAACCCGGATATAAGAGAGATTGTCTCTGGTCCCAAATTAGAGCCTGTGTTAATGTATATAAAATAGACCAAACCCGGATAAAGAGAAACCCTGATATAAGAGAAACCCGGATATAAGAGACTTCTTCTCCGGTCCCGACAACTCTCTTATATCCGGGTTACACTGTATATAGCTTTCGTTCAAAATGCGATACTTTAAAGTCGTGGTAGATGCATAATAAGTGAGTCATAAGTGTTTATTTAAATGCTGCTCTAAAGTCTGTTCCATTACAATACGGAATGTGATGATTCGCTCAAATAGTTAATTCGACTTACTACAGGGCCAAACAATTCAAACAAGAGAGGGTATACAAGTACCTAGCTCTTCCTCTAGAAGCTAATAATGTAATCTTTAGAGAACTACACTGTACTTAATGTCGGAAGTAAATTTGTCGAAATACGAACCGATAGTTGCTTTTGTCTTTGAATAGTCAAAACGGGAAGGGCGTGTTTGTAAATAGTGTAAGTCGATAAGCGCATTCGATATCGATTCTAACAATGAAAGAGGTTTGTCAATCCTTCATTTCCAATTTGACATTTTGATGGATAATGTTTGATGTAAGACGAGGCCATGAAAAGAATAAACTTCCTTCTGTTGTTTTTATATCATGCTTTTGTTTTTAGTAATCGATTTTTAGAAAGGCGAGATGGAACTCAGCTGACGCTTCCTGCGGGAAGTTAGTCCAAAAGTTTACGCTGCTATTAAATTTTCGATGAAAATAGCTGTTGAAAAGTTATAATTTACTTTCATAAAAGTTAGTGTTTGAAATATTATAATAACAATAACAATGGTACCATTTAATTATACCGTACCATATGCAGAATGACTGTAAATTTTGACTACTACACTCTTTCAGCCAGATGTTTTTGCACAGATAAGTGTGTCCTATGTTGATGATGTTAATATTTTATATAAAAATTGATTGATTGAATCGTTTCTCTCGGTTTCTCAACCAATTGCAGGTTATGTAAAATCAGGAAATATTTTTTTTTAAATTTTAAGAATTCTTTTAAGATAATAATATTTTAATGATGCAAGTGTTACTGATTCATGGCTGCGGGAGATTTACTCATTTCACAAGAGTAGTGTACACAAGTGAATATAACGGAATGGACTGGAATTGAAACTCAGTACTCTCCTATTAATAATTCCGAGCCATTATCCATTACACCACCGGCACGCCCAAGCAGCAACCCATCTAAGTACTGACCAGACTTACAATTGCTTAACTTCTGTGATCGTAAGTGAACCGGTGTTTCAAAGTGATGTAACCGTAAGCTTTTATATAAGAAAGAAAATGAACAAAAAATCTACATTTCAAACAAATGTAGGACATCAGATGAAGATTTTTTAAAACTAAATTTTAATCTTGAATTGCAATGAAAATAATGATATGTGTACTGAATCTATCATAAAACACTGTAGGATTAATCAATTCCAAATACTTCAAATAGTTCAGTATATTGATCAGTTACTATAAAACTCAGTATGGGAGATGAGAAAACAGAAATGCGAGATAAAATAGTTGTTGAACTATTTTTTTTCAACACAGTAACATACTACAAACTCAGCATATTATTATGAGAACTCGTGACATGCTCTTACATATTGTCTTCAGATCTGATCTCCCATAGAGCGTGATTGTTAGTGTCTAAGTTATTCAGAAATGTCTAAACTAACATCTTTATTCAAATGTTTTCCCAGATCTCTAAACTGTTTTATTATCTCGATATTTTATTCTTAACACGACTCAGTTACTTGTTTCAGTTATACAGAGTGTTCGTGGAAACAAGGCTAAAAACAAGAGAATAAGATATCTATTGACAGTGACAGTGGAATGAGAACAGTATAGACCTTTAGATTAAATAACATATTCAATTCGAAATTCCCTAAAAGATATTATGATCGATAAAAGAACGGAGCGCATATCGGCCAAAACATTGTGATAGCAACAACACAGATGAGGACACTATTCAAATGTAAATACTGCAAAATGATAAATCTTCCTTTTAGAAATTCAAAGGGAAAAACAAATATGAAAAAAACAACAGCATGCAATAATTGTCCATCCTACAAAATGTTTAATACGTAAAAAAAAAAATACTGAACTGAGTTTCTTTTTTCCAGGTTATCGCAAAAGACTTTTAGCCATCTTGACACCATTTGTCATAAGAATCATTACATATTTGAAAAAATAAATAAAAATTATAAAATATAATTTATTCTAGATTTTAAAGAACGGTGACAATAAAATATTTCTTTAAACGCTATTTCATTTCATAACTTAGGCGATCATGGCTCTCCACAGATTCTTTATCATAGAATCTTGGTCAATATAGAAGAGTTGTTTCCTATTATGTACTTTACTATTTTTATGTCAGAGTAATTCTTTGCATCATTTGGTTGACAATAAATGTTAGAGATACTAATCTACCCTACTACGTAAGCTGTAACTGGGTGTGCCGGTGGTGTAATGACTTGTGGTCAATTGAAAGTGGTCATGACTTTCCTAAGGGTATTTGTACGAAAAGAAAGGTAACCAAATAGGCAGACATTTCCGCTCGCTCTGCCGATTCCATTTCATCCGCGAATATTCGTTGAACTACCTATATCTTAATTCAAAATTTAATATGAGTAATGTAAACGATTTAGTGAAATTTTTACGAAAAAAAAAAGACAACGGAAAGTGTAGCACAAATCCGAAGGTGCGTTTAAATAACGAAAGAAGTTTTATAATAACTAAGCAAACTATTAAAACTTAGGAATTCTTCAAAGGAAAAAAATATGAGTTTCATAGACTGAATGTGACTTTAAAAATGGATGAGTTTTAATAAATTGTTATGTGTCAAGACGTTGAATATATTGTGTGAATGAACATGAATATTTAATAACACGTCGATATTCCCCCCTAAAAAAACGGCTAAAATAGATATGGTATCAGATTCAGTTTAAAGGCTACAGGTGTGATCAATGTGTAAGGTATGTTCGATAAGGTCACAACAATTAAATCAAGTACATCGGGTGTAACAGCAAACTTGTCTAAATCGTGTAACGTTTATTGTCCATCCAGCAAAATGTTTAGTATCTAAAAAGAAAACTAAACTAAATGACTTTCATTTTGCCAGGTTTTCAGATAACTCGTTTAAACACCTTGACAACCATTTGTTTTAAGAAACACTGAAAACCCTTACATATTAGGTTGGTGCAAAAATAATGTCGTTTTCTCACATATATTACTTTTATATATGATTTCTGAATTAATTCAATGATATATATAGCCATGTTATATATCATTTTGAAGCGCGTTTTTCGCTCTATCAACTCGTGTTATTCTTTACCATTCTCAATCTCCTCATTCATTTTTTTTTTGCAGGCTTTGCGACAGCATGGACAAAATTCAAATCCACACGATTTTCTTTTTCCAGTTCAAACTGGGCCGAAAAGCTGCCGAGGCAGCTCGTGATATCAATGATGCGTTTGGCACAACGGTGGTTCAAGAAATTTCGCAATGGTGACGAGAGCCTCGAAGATGAAGACGTCGCGGCCGGCCGACTGCGGTTGATAACGAACATTTGAAAGCCTTAATTGAAGCCGATCCTCGCAAAACCACACGAGAAGTTGCTGTTGAACTCGAGGTTGACCACTCAACAGTCGTTCGCCATTCAAAGCAAATAGGAAAGTCAAAAGAGTTGGATAAATGGGTGCCGCATGAATTGAATGATAATAAAAAAAATTGTCGTTTTGAGGTGTCTTCTACGCTCCTTCTGCGCAACAAAAACGACCCATTTCTCGAGTGGATTGTGACGTGTGATGAGAAGTGGATCCTCTACGACAACCGGCAACGTTCGGCACAGTGGTTGGATGCCGGAGAAGCTCCACAACACTTCCCGAAGCCGAAATTGCACCAAAAAAAGGTTATGGTAACTGTTTGGTGGTCTGCGGCCGGTCTTATCCATCACAGCTTCTTGAATCCGGGCGAAACGATTACGGCGGAGAAGTACTGCCGACAAAATGACGAAATGCACGAGAAGCTCCAACGTATGTGCCCGAGATTGGTCAATATGAAAGGAACAATTCTCCTCCATGACAACGCTCGTCCGCCTGTTGCTCACCTGACCCTGCAGAAGCTGAACGAATTGGGCTACGAGACTCTGCCTCATCAGCCATATTCACCGGACCTCTCGCCCACCGATTATCACTTTTTCAAGCATCTCGACAACTTCCTGCGCGAAAAATGATTCAAAAGCCCAGATGATGCCGAATCGGCCTTCAATGACTTCATCGCTTCCAGAACTCCGGATTTCTATGCTAATGGGATAAATAAACTTGTTTCTCGTTGGCAAAAATATGTCGATTCTAATGGTTCTAATTTCGATCAATAAAGTTTATTATGAAATGAGTTATGATCTTTTGAAGTTGAACGTCAAAAAACGACATTATTTTTGCACCAACCTAATAGTTATCCAGCTAGAATGAGAACAACTTAAATTCCTTTTGTGTCAGCTCCACTATGTCTTTCCAACTGAGCAATGGTGAGAGGAAGAAGATCATTAAGGCCTACAGTAATCGTACCAATGTTATTGCTCTGGCTTCCATCTTCATTCAAGAACCATCAAGAGAACGCTGAATAAGTTTAAAAATGAGAGAACAGTAGAGAGGAAAACTGGATCAGAAGGTCACAACAAAAAGAGGGATCATCGTTTAAACTTTGAGCTAAATACATTCTTAGTATTAAAATTAAAGTCCAGTAGCGTTAGAAAAACCTCGGAGAATTACAGTAATATATCTTTAATCATTTCTAAGATACAATTGTTCAAATCTTAATCTCACATGAATAATCACAGTAATTAACGAGGAACTAGCTGTGGTTTATATTCAGGGTCTACAAAATTGTAAGAGGTAGTAGTTATATGTATGTTGCAGGATGAGAGAATTAGCGCGTTGCAACGAATATTTCATAAGTACTTTTATTATATATATCGTGATCTGAATATTTTAATTTTTATTTTAGTTGATACCACCAGCGGTTTTTAATAAGAACAACCACCGTAGGGTGCAGTCTGTGTAACAATTCTGATCGTGGAAAGCCGACTTGGCGGTCTGGGTTCAAATACTGGTCGAATCTCCGTACTATGCTACCACCCTTAGAGAGCCAGAGATCAATTCTATCCTCACCACATGTACAAAACAGCAGGATGGAATTTTCCTCTATGGACATAATAAGGGGACCAGCTTAAGAGAACAGTTCTGAACTCTCAATAAGTGGGGAAGATCTCGGCTCGGAATAAGAAATCAGTGAGCAGTGGTCGAATTCAGTCGAGTTTATTGTTCTCCATTTCTCATCTGTAAATTTTTTACAAGAAAATGAATGTATTCAAAACAGTGGAAGAACAACTGGTAAATATTAACTTTCCAAAGAACTTTCATGATTATTTCCACTTTACAGATATTAACAAAAGAAAGCTAGCATTAACCATGATTGCTTAATTTCCGAAGATAAATCATGCAAGTTTCTCATAAGACTATTTCCTATCATTATAATGAAATATAATTAATCAACAACCAGAGTATACCTAACGTGACTAGAACCCCGTGTATTTCCTACTAAAATAGTCAATAATTAATTAAAAAGGCACTACATATTAACCCATGACATATCTTTCTTTCAGTCAAAGCAAAATTCATATAATAATTTAGGCAAATAATTCCTCTGTTCATCTACCTTTTCGTGACTATATTATGGTAGGAAAAGGATTGGAAACTCTGACTGGAACCCCTTCAAACGGTTACACTAATCCCAAATATTCCAGGTAGATACTTGCAGACTCAGGTAAAATCATGACTATTGTCTTTCTTTCTAATTCTGTTTTTGACTCTGTTGTAATATGGATCTATATCTATCTTTTGAACTTTATTATAAACCAAATCGATGTCTTCAATTTTTAACACTAATGTAAACCCGAGTGATACCTGCCCTTTTGGCATCAGGGCAAACTGGACATATATTTACCTTTATGACTCAAATGTAAACAAGATTTATATCTATATATTTGTTATTCTAGTGAAAACCGGACCGAAGTCTACTATTTTAAACCTACTGTAATGTAGATCTCTTTATAGCTTCTGTATCTATCGTGAATCAAACATACATCTACATTTTGGTATAAGTGAAAAATCTACATTTATACATTCTATCTACATTTTATATTCTAGTCTAATCAAGAGTGATTTTTGACCCTAGTGTAAACAGAGCCTATATCTATTTGTTTGACTGTA